CCGCCCGCTTCGCCGCGGAGGCACCGCCGCGGAGGCCGCCGCCGCAGAGGCCACCGCCGCGGAGGACGCCGCCGCCGCGGACGCTGCCACCGCCGCGAACGCCGCCACCGCCGCCCCTGACGCCGCGGCCGCGATCGCAGCCTCCGTCGCGCTCTCGCTCCCCAGCCGGGACCCGCACTCCCCTCCGACTCCGTGCCGCGCCTTGCTGCCTCCGCACGCCTCGCCACCCCGCCAGCCGTCCTCGCCGCCGCCCCTCCCTCCCACGGCCGTGCCGCCGCCGCCGGCGCCGCCGTCGCCGCCGCCGGAGCTGCCGGCCGTTGTCGCTTCCGCGATGGCGGCGGAGGGCGCAGCGGCGTGCGGAGTGTCTCTCGCAGCTCCGCCAGAGCGGCCGCCGCCGCCACCGCCGCCGTTGTGCGCGGCTGTGGTCGCGGCGGCACACAGCGGCGACCCTGCGCCGCGGGCGAGCCCGCCGGAGTCGCTCGAGGCTCTCGAGGCCGCGGAGCTCTACCGCACCGCGCGGGCGGCGGGGGAGGCTGGCTCCCCGCTTGTGCCTCTGGTGGTTGCGCTGCAGCGGCAGGTGGTGGCACTCGTCGCACACGGCGGCGAGCGCGACCGCCAGATCGCCGCCATGGGCGATCGGCTGGAGAAGCTAGAGACGGCTCTGCTCGTCGCGAACGCCAGGCTTGCGGCTGCCGACGCCGACGCCGCCGCCGACGCCGACGCCGCCGACGCCGACGCCGCCGACGCCGCGCTATCGGGCGGTGGCGCTGGCAAGGCGAGGGTGGCGGCGCAGACAGGCCCCGAGCCCTCACGCGTGCAAGAAGAGGACGTGGCGCTGGAGGCCGCCTCGCGGGTGCGGGAGGACGGCTCGCCCCGGGAGCCGATCTCGGCCGAAATTGCGGGACTGCGTTCGGCCCTCGGTGGGGTGGCTGGTGAGGTGGCTGCGGAGGAGGGGGCGGCCGGTTCGTGGACCGGCGCCGGTTTCGGCCGCGGCTCCTTCGACCGCTGCGGCGGCGGCGGCGGCGGCGAGCTCTCCGGCTCATGCGGCGGCCTGCCCGGGAGTGGGCGCGACGCTGGGGACGAAGGGGCCCTGAGCGGAGGCTACTTCGGCGCCAGACACCCGTTGCGAGAGGGGGTTGGGTGGGCGCGGGCAAGGGGGGTGCCACCCGTCCGCGCCTGCGCCTAGGCGACGACATGTACGCGGAGATCCCTCGGATCGTGTTCGAGGCGCGGGAGGGACGATCCTACGCCCCCGTCCACCCCGGCACTCCCAACCCCGGCACTCCCAACCGCGACTGACGGCGTCCTCACGCCGCACCAGGAGCTCAGCGACGACCATTCCGACGACGACGACGACGACGACACCACAGAGGGTTCTGTGGCTGTGGGCATGCACGGCGGTGACGCAGAGGCGGCGTCGGCGATGACAGCAAGCGACGGGGCGGGTCGCGACAGCGACGCGGGCGACGCTCCAACCTTTGCTGACGGCGCAGAGGAGGAGATCCAGCCGTAGGTAGGCTCGTGGCTCGGCTGGGCGACGGCTAGCACCACACTCCTCTCCTTAAAATCCAGCCCACTACTTCTCTTCCACCTGGTGGTGCGATGGGCTCCCTCCCGCGGGCTGTCAGCGCGCTGTAGCATCAGGTGCAAAAGGAAAGAGTGGGCTGGAAAAAAACACGGAATTATGTATGTAAAAGAGGAATGGCCAATGCAGTGGTCGAGAGGACAGGCAGGGGAGGGTACAAGTTGACCACTCTAAAAACTCTCCCTCTTGCGGACCCTAAGCCTTCGCTTGCCGGAGAAGGTGGTGGCTATGACTTTGGACCTTTGCGAGATGTGGCGAGCGAGCGGACGGAGCAAGAGCGCTGAGCAAGAGCGGTGTAGGCGCGTCCACGCGGCGCAGCGGCTCTCCCGCGACCACAGCCCCTCCCGGCGGCGCGCGCAGCGCGCGGGGCGTTTTTTACATGCAAACGGGACGGCCTGCGCAGCCTCTATCCCATCTCGTCTCAGAGTTTGACCGTGTGATTGTGGACGCGCCCGCCGATGGCGGGAGCCGCTTGATATTCCTGTGGATTCCCGCGTTCCAGCGGCAAGCGCGCGTTTCTCGCGTTGACGGCCAGCTTTCGGCGGTTCGGCGGTTCTACCGGCCATGCTTGCATCGCTGCGCCGGCTTGGCGCGTGCCAGATCCGCGCCACCAAGCTCGCCACTCCACCATGCGGAGCACACTCGACGGTTGGCGTGCCGCTGGCTCCTAGGTGGCTCAGCCTTGCCTCTCAGCTCCACTCGGGGCGGAGACCCAATCCGAGCCGCGTGCCACTCATGAACGAGCTCCGGAGTGTGCGGGAGGTGCTCGACGTGCACGAGAGGTGTGCAGCAATAATGCGGCCAATCGATGTGAGCGCTTGCTGGAACTCGCTCGGCAAGCTCGTGCGTAGAGACCCACGAGAGCGCGCTTGGCTCCGTGACGAACTGCGTAGGCGGCCTCAGACGCTTCAGCCACTCCTCGACTCGGCACTTGAAGTGCTGCCACGTGCAACGGCACAACCAGTTGCCAACGTCGCGCATGGGCTAGCGGTGGTGGGTGACAGGGTGGGGTTTCACGCGAACCCTGAGGTGTGGCGTACGCTGGCCAAGGAGGCGGCGCCGCGGCTGTGCGAGTTCACGCCGCAGAACCTCTCCAACACGGTTTGGGCGTTTGCGACGGCTGGCGTGCCGGCGCCTACGCTGTTTGCGGCGGTGGCCAAGGAGGCGGTGCCGCGGCTGCGCGACTTCACGCCGCAGGCGCTCGCCAACACGGTTTGGGCGTTTGCGACGGCTGGCGTGCCGGCGCCTACGCTGTTTGCGGCGATGGCGAAGGAGGCGGCGCCGCGGCTGCACGACTTCAAGCCGCAGAACCTCTCCAACACGGTTTGGGCGTTTGCGACGGCTGGCGTGCCGGCGCCTACGCTGTTTGCGGCGATGGCGAAGGAGGCGGCGCCGCGGCTGCGCGACTTCACGCAGCAGAACCTCGCCAACACGGCGTGGGCGTTTGCGACGGCTGGCGTGCCGGCGCCTACGCTGTTTGCGGCGGTGGCCAAGGAGGCGGCGCCGCGGCTGCACGACTTCAAGCCGCAGAACCTCTCCAACACGGTTTGGGCGTTTGCGACGGCTGGCGTGCCGGCGCCTACGCTGTTTGCGGCGATGGCGAAGGAGGCGGCGCCGCGGCTGCACGACTTCAAGCCGCAGAACCTCGCCAACACGGCGTGGGCGTTTGCGACGGCTGGCGTGCCGGCGCCTACGCTGTTTGCGGCGATGGCGAAGGAGGCGGTGCCGCGGCTGCGCGACTTCACGCCGCAGGCGCTCGCCAACACGGTTTGGGCGTTTGCGACGGCTGGCGTGCCGGCGCCTACGCTGTTTGCGGCGATGGCCAAGGAGGCGGCGCCGCGGCTGGGGGAGTTCAACACGCAAGATCTCGCCACCACGGCGTGGGCGTTCGCCGTTGCCGACGTGCTGGCGCCGCAGCTCTTTGGCCCTGCGTTTGCCGCACGCTGCGAAGCTCTCCCTCTTGACCACGAAGGTCTGAGTCAGTTGCACCAGTGGCAGCTCTGGCTCGCCGAGCGTGGCCTCGCCCCCCCGCTCTCGGCGCCGTTCTCGGACCGCTGCCGCAATGCATTCGTGTCAGGAGGGGTGCACGTATCGAAGCTGCAGCGGGAGGTTGTCTCCAGCCTCTCCCGGCTCGGATTCTCGGCGGAAGAGGAGGTGCTAACCGAGGCTGGCTACTCGCTCGACGCCGTCATCGAGCACGGCGGCGCTCGCATCGCCGTCGAGGTGGATGGGCCCTCCCACTTCATCGGCCAGGAGCCCAGCGGCGCGACGCTCCTGAAACGGCGGCAGCTGCGCAGCTTCGGCTGGCCCCTTCTCTCGGTGCCATATTGGGAGTGGACTGCGCTGGGCGGGAGCCCGGAGCGCCAAGGTGCTTACCTGCAAGATGCGCTGGCTCGTGAGGCGCTTCCAGCAGCACAGTCCGGTAGCGCGCCACCCACATCTTCAGCCTCAGAGCCTGCAGGTGAGTTGTGCGCTCTCACCGTCCCTCAGCTCAAGGAGCGGCTCCGTGAGAAGGGCCTCCGCGTCTCCGGCCGCAAGGCCGAGCTCATTGATCGCTTGCTGGTATGCTCCGCAAGGGACTGCAGCTCTTGTTGAGCCTATTGTGTAGAGTTGTAGGCTAGAGACACACACATTGTACAGCATGTGTGTGTGTAGCTGTACCTGTAGGACCATACGTGGGAGAGACGGCGCAGAGGGGGGTTGGGCGCGCCTTGTTTCTTTTTTGGCAAGGCCCGGTGCAGGCGCGCGCCGCCGCCTTCCTCACACCGCCGAGCCTCCACACCTCACACCACTCGCGCAGGCCGCAGTGCGCAGAGCTTTCGCGCGCCGCGGCACCCCCTTGCCCCTCCCCGGCAGCCAACTCTTTTCTTGCGACGTTGCTCTAGCTAAAAGGGCGTGACCACACCTGCGTCACCACCGGCCGGTATGCCCCTCGCCGGCGGCGCGCGGTAGTGCCGTTCCATAAAGCGGGCGAGCATGCGAGCGGTGGGTGCGGGTCGCTCGTACGCCAGGCAAGCGCGGCTGCCCAGCACAATCGCGGAGCACTCTCGCGCGGGCAAACGCGCGCGTGAGAGCAATTCCTCGGCCTTCGTCGTCGCGTTCTCCAGGCCTCCATAGTCGCCGCGCAGCAGCTGGAGCGGCACGTCTAGCGAGTCGAACACGTCGGTGCGCTCGTCCCGCCACGCGCCGCCGGGAGGGATGGAGCCGCAGAGGTACGAGAAGGTCGAGAAGCGGCTCCGCGCATCGAGCGCCGGCGATGCACTGATTCACCCACTCGGCGCCGACGTCGGACTCGGAGGCGAAGAGCGACCGCTCGGTGAACTCGCGGATCCGCGCGCCGGGAGGAGATCCTCCTCGGAGCCTCCGGAAGAAGAGGTTTCCGGCGGGCGAGCAGGAGGCCGCCCAGAGGAGCCGCTGCGTCCTTCGAGAGAACTTTCGCGAGTCGGCTCCCTTGGAGAAGAAGCGGAGCGGCGGCGGCGACAGCAGCGAGACGCCGGCCACGGCTTCGCGCCCCGATCGCCGCCACACCTCGAGGGCGCACGGAAGCAGCCCGCCCTGCACAACGAGCACGCTCGGCGTCTTAACATGCTCGCGCAAGTAGTCGTCGAGCTGAGCCGCCCACACCTCTGGTGAGTAGAATCGGCGCGGCTTGGGGCTCGCGTCGCCCGTTCCGAGCAGGTCGTACGAATGCATCGCTGCCGGAGAACCGAGGGCGTGCCACTCCTGGTGCAGCCGGTTGTAGAAGGCGCGGTCGATACCAACCCCGACCGGAGGCAAGAGCACCAGAGGAGGCACCGGAGCGCCGTGACCCGCCGGCTGGACCTGCGCGCTGAAGAACTCGCGGCCGCGGTGGACCACACGCCTCGTGCTGTAAGGCGGGACGGCGGTGCTGCTGTGCGCTAAAGACAGGGCAGTAGGCGCGGTGGAGGTCAGCGCGGTGAGCATGTACGTATGGTGGCCAGTCTCCGACTAGGTCTCGAGCTGGCGAGGTACTACCGCGACTACCAGCCGGCTGTGGCACAGCTGACAGAGGGCGCCCGCGTTCCGGCTGCGCTTCACGTTCACGAGATATCCCGAGATCACACGAGATGATCCGAGATTACCCGAGATCACACGAGATGATCCGAGATTGTCCCGAGCATAGGCTCGTACCGCGACGACGACGAGCCCTGGATCGCGATCAACCCGTCCATACAGCGCCGCTCGCGGGAGATGGTCGCTGGGTGGGAGACATGGCTCTCGGTGCCCGGCTATGCGGCTAGCGTCGAGCGGCCCGCCGCGGTCGACGTGCGGTACGAGCGGCTCGACGGCACCGCAGTCGAGCGGCGGCTGCGCGGCTTCGAGGCGCGAGTCTTCCAGCACGAGCTCGACCACCTCGACGGCATCCTGTTTACGGACAAGTGCGCCCGCTGCCTCCACCGCCGCCGCGGCCTCCCCTTGTCACCGCGCCGCCCTAGTGGGCGGGAAAAGCTCACCCGCTACTTCCTATAAGCTGCGAGGAAGTGCAACCCTGGACAGAAGGAGACGCTTCGAGCGAGTCATCATTGACATTGCTCATGCAGATACTTAGTCTCGGAGACGAGTCGGAGCTGGGCGCGGACGAGCTCTGCAGGCACTGGTGTTAGCACTCGGCCAACTGTTGCCGGCTCATCTCTCCTCATCTCGGCTCATCTCGGCTCATTTCATCTCGGCTGATCTCATCTCATCGCGGCTCATCTCATCTCATCTCAATCTCGGCTGATCTCATCTCGGCTCGGCTCGTCTCGGCTCATCTCGGTTTCTCTTGGCAGTGCGCGCCAGTCCCGTGCCCAGTGTTGTGCGAGGGAGTTTTGTTGTAAAATTCTCTCGGCTCATCTCGGCTCATCTCGGCTCATCTCGGCTCATCTCGGCTGGTCAGACCCAATGGAGGAGGAATTCCCCGGCGGCGCGGCGCCGGCGGAGGGGGAGGAGGGCGGCCGCTCTTGCTCGTCGAATGGACCTGGACGTGCCCCATATTGGGGGCCCGCCGGCATTACCCCGCCCGAGACGCCGGTCTCGGGCGCTGCCGGCGCGCCCCACCCTTTCATCCTTTTAGATGAGGCCACGGGTTCTAAGGCGGGCGAGGCGGCTACTGAGGCGTTGGCGGAGGCGGCGGTCGACGCCGTCTACGGGGCGCTCGTAGCGGCGACGCTCGAGGAGTGGGCGGGCGCGAGCACGGACAACCCCGTCTCCGCGGCGGACGCTCGAGGCCCAGGCCTCGAGTGTCAGCAGTGCTTTGGGAGCTTTTACGACGAGTTTGGCGTGGAGCCGTGGCTGTGGCGCCGGGCGTTGCGTGAGGGCTGGTCGGAGCTGGGGGGCTGGTCGAGAGAGGAGATGGAGGCGGCGGAGAAGGAGATCTGGCGCGGCGAGAGTTCTGAGATCTCTCAGCTAGGCGAGTGGGTCTGCGATGCTTGCCTGGAGGGCTATTTGGGGGGGGGCTTCGGCGACTACTCGGAGCTGCGCAGCGGCTACGTTGCGCCGTATCCGAGTAACCCCTGGATAGGTCGCTCGCGCGACCTCTCCTGGAAGCTGGATGCGCAAGGGGCCCATAGGGGTCACGCGGAGGGAGGCGCTGTTAGCGGCGGAGGAGGCGAAGGCGGCCGCGCGGGCGGCGGAGAAGGCGGCGCGGGCAGCGGAGGGGGGGAAGGGCGGCGGCAGCGGGCGGCAGTCCCGCGAGGCACGCCGGCGGAAGGGTTCGTCTTCGCGGGGCGGGGTGCGCACTGCGCGCCGCGAGGATGAGGAGCCTGAGCCAGGGGAGGGTTGGGAAGGGGGGGCGAGGCCGGAGGAGTATGACGGCCTCTTCGACGGCCCATTAGGGGCCGTTGTCTGCTGTGCCTTTTGTGGTGCTAGTTCGTGCCAGTCTGCTGTGAGAGGGGCTTGGGTTAGAATTCTTTTGGCCAGAGCGCCCTATCTCTTCATCCGCGCTTAGCCACACAACCATGTCTTTCCAGCGCGGCCGCAAGGGCTGGCGGACCGGCAGCCCGGAGCGCCTCTCGATGTTCATCGAGGCGGACTCCATGGCGCAGCGCGGCTGGGCGCTTGGCGGGAGAGGAGCGCAGGCTGCTCCTGCTCCCGCGCCCGAGCCGCCGCACGCGGCGCCCTCCCTACCGGCGGCTGCGCTCGGCTTCGCGGTGCCTCCGTGGTGCGTTGTGCCGGCGCAGCCATGCGCTGCGCGGCTCCTGGTCACCAGCGGAGGCGTGGCGCGCATCGACCGGCAGGGCCGCCCAGAGACGCTGCAGATAGGCATGACGAGAGCCGTCGTCGCCGGCCGCTCTCCGGACGCCGATGTGGTGCTCGAGCACCCGTCGGCGTCGCGGCGGCATGCGGCTGTGCTGCACCACGCGTCCGGCGCGGTCTACCTCGTCGACCTCGGCTCTGCCCACGGCACGTTTCTCGCAGGCACACGGCTGCCGCCGCACGAGCCAACCGTGTGGGCGGACGGCACCGCGGCTCGCTTCGGCGCGGCGCAGACGCAGCACATCCTGCTCCGGCGGCGCGAGTCGTTGCCGCAGCCCGCCGCGCTTCGGCCGCCGCCGCAGCCACAACCTCCCTCCAAGGCGGCGTCGAGTGCGCCGGCACTTGCGCCGCCGCAGCCGGCGCCAGCACCGCCGCAGCCGGCGCCTGCGCCGCCGCAGCCGGCGCCTGCGCCGCCCGCGCGGCTGGGCTATGACGACGACGCGCCGCTGGGCGGGGCACCGCCGAACGGGACAGCGGCAGCCGCCGCACCGCAGAGACTCGTGAGTTACGACGACGACGACGACGACGACGACGACGACGTCTGCAGCGATGTCGATGGTGCTTCTGGCGGCGGCGACGACGCAGGAGGCGGGACTGGCAGCCTCAACAAGAGCACGCAAGTAGAGCGGGCCGTGCCGGCGCCGCCGCGACCGCCGCAGCCGCCGCAGCCGCCGCAGCCGCCGCCTCAGGCGCCGCCGCCGCCGCCGCCGTTGCCACCGCGACCGCAGCCCCCGCCGCCGCCTCCGCCCGCGCTGCTTGGGGAGGACGACCCGGCGTTGGCCGCCCTCGTCGACGCGAATACGCAGCGGAACAGGCATGTGCCCGTGGTGCCAGAGGGCGGCGGTGCGGCCGGGCGAGGCCGGGGCCCGGAGAGGGTCTGGGAGGCCGCCCCACGCCGCGTGCGCTTCGACTCGGCGCCGCCCTCTGTGCGCTTCTTCGAGCCGCCCGCCGCCGAGCCGCTTCCGGACCCGGAGGCCCCGCCGGGCGCCGCCCTCGCCCCGGCAGATCATGGCTGGCGACCCGCCGCAGTCGTCGCGGCCGCCACAGCCACGCCCGCCCCTCGTCCGAGCACAGCTGGCCCGCTGGCGAGGCCTACGGAGGTCGTCGTGACGGTGCGGCGGAGTGCGGCGGCGGCGCCGCCGCAGGGAGTGGGCCAGTTCGGCGGCGTGGAGTCGACCGTCCTCCCGCACCCGCCTCCCTCTGCCGCCGCAGCACCGCACACCGCGCCACCGCCGCCGGCCTTGGCGCCCGCTGGCCCGCTCGCCGCGACAATCCAGGGACGCCTCGCCTCGCTGTACAAAGGGCCGGCCGAGCCGTCGAGCCCCCGCCTCTTTCCCAAGGAGCGCGAGGGCTCCTTCCTGCGAGGCGCCGGCCGCGCGAGCGCCGCCCCCGACGCCGTGCGACTCTCGCTCTCCAGCCATTGCGGACACACCGCGGCGGGCAGCGTGCTCTCCGACGGGGCAAGCCTCCGCATCGATGACTCGAGCGGCGCCGGCCTGCTCGCGCTCCACTTTGAGAGCGCCGCCCGCAACCCGCTGGCGGACGGCCGGACGCCGGTGCGGTACCGTGCGGACGCCGGTGCGGCGCACGCCCGGCGCGTCGGGGCCGCCGTGGCCGCGTGGCGGCGCGGCTCGTCGGCCGCCGGCGACTTTCTGCTCTCGGTCGTCAACTTGCATGGGCGGCCGGTGCTTGTGTACGCGTCGCTGCTGCTGCGATCGGCGGGGGGCGGCGAGGAGGAGGAGGTGGTGCTCAGCCCGTGGGCCGAGCCCCTCCCGCCCGACGAGCAGCCGGCGCCACTCTCCGTCGAGAGCGGAGGTGCGCCGCGCGGCGCCAACTGCTTGCTCCTCGAGGCATACGAGGGCACTGCGCGCTGCGAGGCCGACGAGGCCGAGACGGCACCCATGGGAGAGAGCAACACTTTCCGGCGCGCTGCGGCGAGCGGGGTGGCGGTGGCAATGCCGCCCGCCGCGCGCGGCCCGTGTCTGCGCCTCGAAGCGTCTTTCCAGGAGGGCGAGGAGGAGCCTGGGGCGCCATTCTGCGTCCTGAGGCTGCCTCTCTCGCTCGCTGGTTGACGCTGCTGCGTTTTCAGATTATTGTGGTAAGATCTCAGTACAGAGTACCGCGAAGCGCCCAAAAACTTACTACCCTTGTAACCCTATCCGGCCACGGCCCGGCCTCGGGCTTTGAGCGAGCGCGTGACCCTTCTTGCTGCGTTCCACCCCAGTATAGGCGCGCTCTCTGCAGCCCCGAGAAACCGACGTTCACGTTATATGTACTGACGTAACGTACTCTAGCTTGCATGAGATTGCCCGATGCGGTGGCACCGGTTGAGCGCCTGCACAGCTGTCAGCTCCTTGCCTCGGACGTAGAATGGCTCCACACACACACACACACACACACACACACACACACACACACACACACACACACACACACACACACACACACACACACACACACACACATACACACACACACACCGCTCACCCACGCGCACTGGGCCTTGCACATTTAATGCCGTGGGGCTCCTGTCGTTAGACGTGGAGACGCGAGGGTCGCCCCCGGCTTGCCCCACCACCTCGTGTGTGTGGAGAAGTTTACCTTACCTTACCTTACCTGGCTCCATCAAGACGACGTGCGCCGCACCTCGTCCTTACGCACATCCTTAAGGACGACCTCCTATCGACCGGCTGCTGACGACACCGTCGATTCGCGTGGGCGTCAGGCAGCGGCTGAGGTTGGCCTCTCCACCCGGTCGCCACGCCATAACCTGCTGGATCTGAGCGAGTAGCCCGGCCCAGACAAGGGTTCCATCCGCCCCGAATGTCGCTTGGCGCGCTAGGGTGAACGTGGGCACGGGCGTGCCTAGCTGGCGCAGCTTGCGGTCAAGCGCGCGCACGTTGCGGAGGTCGCTCCGGTCATGTCGTCTCAACAGTACGAGGCCTAGTGTGGCTCGGAGGGTGGCGTGATATCACGGGGGAATTATGCGGCGCCAGAGGGGAGGAGTTGTGACGCACCGACGAGCGCGTTAGGCAGCACCGCGTTCTCGTCGCCTTCGTGGCCGGCGTGGTCAAGGTAGAGATTCACCTCATTGTTGATTACCTTTACATTGCTGCGCTTGAGCAGTGATTGCGCTCGCTCGACGCCCGCCTCCCGCAGTCGCTGCGTAAAGCTGTGCACGGCATCGATGAAAATGGCCGCCTGGGTTGCCCTCCATTTGCACTGTCGCGCCTGTAGGCGCGTCCCATTCCCAAACACGCGCAACCACTCGCCGGCGGATCTGACATGTTCGGCGTCACACCATTGGGGTGTGCGGCACATCTCGCAGCTGCCGGCCTCGACCTCCTCCGCACTACACTTGCGCCATTCCACCGGCATCGTCCACTGGACACCGCAGCCCGCCTGCAGTTGCCTGCACAACGCGCCGCCATCTCCCACCTCACACTTGCCCATGCACCTCGGGTTAGCCCCCGAAGGCAACGTAAGGGGCCCGCAGTTGCTGCACACGCGGCCTTCCGAGTTTGAGTCGATCACAGACATACACTGCACCGCGCTCCATACACGTTCCGCGTTGAAGAGCAGCGCGACGCCGCCCTTTGGGAACGCTAAAAACGGCAGCTTCTGGTGAAAGAGTGAGAATGCCGCACAGTTGTATCCGCAATCGTGCTCGAGCTGCAGGTCGACGAGGCGCTTGGCGGCCATTACACGGGCCCAGAACGGCGAGTGCGAAGAGATGACGTGGACCAGCAGTCCATCGCGACGGAAGGCATGGCGCAGCCCGGATTCGTTGGGGCCGCCCATGCAGCGCCAGACCTGTCTGGTATAGACCCGGCCGAGAACTCAGAGAGTTGCGCTTCAGCTGCTACACAGGCGCCAACCGCCCGCCGGCCCCCCCGCGCTGATGATGCAAGGCGTCGGTTGGTCGGGTAGGCATGGAGTTGGAGTGTTTACCGCAGCTGCGGGCATAACGCCAGCACAGCGAGGCGCCCACGTAGCCATCCGAAGTGGCGTCAGGTTCGCTCGACACAATGCGGAGCGGTTGGCGAGGCTAGTGGTGGCCATAGTCTGGTTGGTCCCCTAGGGGCTGAATGGGTCGGCGCGCGCGCATTCCGTCCGATAGTGTGGGTCACCGGTTAACGCAAAAAAAGCGCGCCCTCCTTCCCAAGCCGCGCCGGCCGCCGCGCGCGCCGATTCGGCGTCGGGCCAGAATCCAGGGCTGTGGCTGGGAGGGCGATGCGGTGCGTGGCGTGTTTTGTGTTCGAGTGGGCCCCCCCCGTGTGTGTGTGTGTGAAAGCGCCAGGATCTCAACTGCCATGTCGGCTGGTTGTAGGCTGGTGCTCTCGCCCCGCTGGCGGCGCGGACCGGTGCCGCGGCTCCGAGCCCTACGACAGGAGAAAAAAATGTCACAGCGACGCGGCTGAGGCGGCTTTGTCATCCTTTGCCTCCCTGTCTCTGGTCGAGCCCCCGCTTGGGGCTGCGACTGGCGCGCAGGCGGGCGGCAGCGCGATGGCCGGCGGCGATGGTGCTGCTGGCGAGCGCGCTGGCGGCGGCGGCGGTACGGACGCTGCCGAGGGTGCCGCGCGTGCCGCAGACGGGCATGCGATTGCCGCAAGCGGCCCCCGCGGCGGAGCTGGGAGTGGCTCCGCTGGCGAGGAGCACGGCGGCGGGGCCGCGGCTGGCGGCGAGGGCCGCGGCGGCGCGCGCCCCAAAGAGGCGGACAGCGGCGCCTGCAGTGCGCAGGCCGCGGAAGGCGGAACCGGAGGCGGCGCCCCGGGGCCTATATGGACCCCGTGGCGCCCGCGCTGCCGGCTAGCGGCGATGGGACGATTGCCGCCGCGGGGGGGGAGGAGGAGGTGGAGGGCGCCGCTGCCGCCGCCGAGGCGGGCCGCCGCGCTCCGAAGACCCTAATTGTTGCCGATCCTTCAGCGACGCGCCATACCGACACCGGGCACAGTTCGCAGCCACTTGCTGCGTCCGCCGGAGCTTCGGATTCTACTTACAGCGGCGCGGACGCGGAGGATGCGGTGGCAGGAGGGGGCTCTGGGGCGGCGGAGGCGAGCGCGGCGGCCACGGCCGAGGAGGACAAGCGCGTCCGGGCGCTGAGGATTGCCCTGCAGCACAGGACGCAGATGCCCGTGACGGACGAGGAGGCCCGGGCTATCCTCCAGGCGCGAGGGGGTCGCGAGACGCCCGTGACGGAGGAGGAGGCGCGGGTCATCCTTCGGGCGCGGGGGGACGTCGGGCACGGCAGGGCTACCTTTCAGGCGCGGGCGCGCGGGCGCGGTGGGCGCGCCACGGCATCGCCGGCGCTGGCGAGCAAGGGCGGCGAGAAGCTATCGCGGCGTGGGAAGAAGGCGGTGGCGAAGGAGGCGGGCGAGGTGGTATCACGCGAGGAAGGCGAGGCGATTTATCGCGCGACGCTCGAGTCGCTGTTGGCGTCCACCGGGTGGACGCCGCGCGCCGCGGAGGAGAGGGCGCGCGAGGAGCAGCGTGCGCATGTTCGGCAGATGCGCTGGGCAAGGGAGCACGGCCGGGGGGAGCCGGTCCGGTGCTTTGACGCGGAGGAGTACGACGAAGGCGACGACGCTTTCGACGCGCTCTTCGACGGGGGCTCGGGGTACGGGTGGGATTCCCCCTCGGGGGGCGGCGCTTTCTTCTAGGCGCCCGCCTTGACCCAACATAGAGGGCGTTGTGTCGCCTAGCTTTTGGGTAATATAAAGCGATCTCTTCACGCAAAAATGTCACCAAACTTCATGCAATGGTGGGCGAGCCAGCGCCGCTGCTCGGCCAGCGAGTCGTGCTCGGCGGGCTGTCTTCCCGTCCCGAGCTGAACGGGCAGCGGGGCGTGGCGCAGAGCTTCGAGGGCGGGCGGTACGCTGTGGCGCTCGAGGGCGGCGGCGAGAGCGTGCGCGTGCGGCCGGGTAATCTGTCGCCGGCTGCGGCGGAGCAGGCGTCGAGCGGTGTCGATGCGGTCATCGCAGCAGCGGAGAGTGGCGAGGAGGAGGCGGTGCTAGCGTGGCTCGACAGTGGCGGGCGGGCCGACACGACGTGCGAGGGAGGCGAGACTAGCGGCATCACGCTGCTGATGGGCGCCGCCCGCTACGGCCACGAGCGGGTGGTCGAGATGTTGCTGCAGCGTGGGGCTGACGTCAACCTGCAGGACAGCGACGGCGACATCGCGCTGATGTACGCCGCCGCCAGCGGCCACGAGCGGGTGGTCGACTTGCTGATACGGCACGGCGCGGAGGTCAGCCTGCAGAACAGCAAAGGCTTTACCGCGCTGGTGTACGCCGCCCGCCACGGCCACGAGCGGATGGTCGATTTGCTGATACGGCGCGGCGCGGAGATCAACCTGCTGAACAGCATCGGCGAAACCGCGCTCATGTACGCCGCCCTCTTCGACCACCCCGCCGTCGTGCGGCGCTTGCTGCGGGCGGGCGCAGACACCGCGGCGCGCAGTGTGCGCGGCAGCACGGCGCTGCAGATGGCCAAGGAGAAGGGTCACGCCGAGTGCGTCGAGGCATTCAGGCAGCACGTCAAGGAGGCGGTCGTGGCGGGACGGCCCACTGCGGCGGCAGTCGGCGGCAGAGGCGCAGGCGGCGCTTCCTCCGGCGGCGCTTCCTCGGCTGGATCGAGAGTCGCGAAGACGCCATCTCCAGCGGTGGCGGGGCGGGCGTCGAGCGGTGGCGTGGCAGTCTCCGACGAGGTCATCGCAGCGGCTGAGAGAGGCGAGGATGCGGCGGTGCTGGCGTGGCTCGAGGGCGGCGGGCGGGCCGACGCGACGTGCGAGAGAGGCGGCGTGAGCGGCATCACGCTGCTGATGGGCGCCGCCATCTACGGCCACGAGCGGGTGGTCGAGCTGCTGCTGCAGCACGGCGCGGGGATCAACCTGCAGAGCAGCGAGGGCGACACCGCGCTGATGTACGCCGCCTTGGAGGGCCACGAGCGGTTGGTCGAGCTGCTGCTGCAGGGCGGCGCGGAGATCAACCTGCAGAACAGCAACGGCGACACCGCGCTGATGCTAGCCGCCGCCAAAGGCCACGAGCGGGTGGTCGACTTGCTGATTCGGCACGGCGCGGAGGTCAGCTTGCAGGACAGCAACGGCTCCACCGCGCTGATGTGCGCCGCCCTCTACGGCCACGAGCGAGTAGTTGACTTGCTGTTGCAGCACGGCGCTGAGATCAACCTGCAGAACAGCGAGGGCGACACCGCGCTGATGGACGCCGCCGCCAAAGGCCACGAGCAGGTGGTCGAGCTGCTGCTTCGGCACGGCGCAGCGGTTGATTTGCAGGACAGCGACGGCTACAACGCGCTGATGGGCGCCGCCTTCCACAACCACCCCGCCGTCGTGCGGCGCTTGCTGCGGGCGGGCGCAGACGCGACGGCGCGCAATGCGAGCGGCAAGACGGCGCTGCACCTGGCCAAGGAGGAGGGCCACGCCGAGTGCGTGCGCGCCCTCGAGGAGCACTCGTCGACCGCAGCAGAGGCGGAGAGGGAGACGACGGTCGCAGAATCAGCCGAACAGGCCGCGGCGGCCGCACGCGAGGCGGCCGCGGCTGCGGAGGCGGCGGAGGCGCGCGATGCAGCCGAGGCGGCGCTGCGCGAGGTGCTTGAGGCGTGCGAGCGAGGCGACGCCGATCTCGAGGCGTTCAGGGCTGCGATCGGCTCGGAGGCGCTGCAGGCGGCGCGGCGGTTGCGCGACGAGCTGGCGGAGCGAAAGGCCCGCGAGGCCAGGGCGCTGAAGCGGCAGCGGCAGAAGGAGGAGAAGGCGGCGGCAGCGGCAGCGCGGGCGGCGGAGCGGGCGGCGGAGCAGGCGGAGGAGGCGCGGGCGGCTGAGGAGGCGCGAGTGGCGGAGGAAGCGGATCGGGTGGTAGCAGAGGCTGCGGCGGCGCGGGCGGCGGAGGAGGCGGAGGCGGCGTCGCGCGCAAGGGAGGAGGCAGAGGCGAGGGCGAGGGAGGAGGCGGCAAGGGAGAGGGAGGAGGCGGCAAGGGAGAGGGAGGAGGCGAGGATGAGGGCGGAAGCGGCGGCGGAGGCGGAGGCGGAGGCGGCGGCTGTAGAGGCGGCGGTGGCGGCGATGGCGGCGGCGGCA